AGATCCAAATAAAAGATTTGGATTAGGAAACTCCTAATGGGATTAGGAGATCCTCTCTTTAAGGCTATAAATAGAAGAGCAGGGCGAACCTCCAAAGACATAACAACAGAACAGAGTTCAAAGTTTGCAGATCACAGAGAGAAGACATTACAGTTTGACTGCTCTTTTCTTTCCCACTCTTGCCGCCCCTACCCAGTTCGATCTCCACCAGTGGGAGTGATCAAGAACGGTTCTTGATATTGCCTTTCGCTAGAAGAGGCAATCTGAAGTCATGCTCACCAGCCCTCCATCATATTCTTGTTGAAGAGTCGTCATGCTGATTCTGCTTCACCTCACACCGTGTCATCTTCGGTGGAAGCAGTCTTTGGTCTTCTCCTTGTGCGTGAACATCTTCGTTGGGGGTTACTGTTACTCCGTATCAGGTATATCCCTCTCCCTTTTGGTTTCAGATCTGGTCCGGCTTGGTTTCAAGATTGATCCTTAAAAATGCAGTTTTCTAAAATAGGGAATGCAATTCTCACATGGGAGAGAGAAATTTTTGAAATTTCGCCCAACCTTCCTGCAGGGTTCGGCCATCCATATATGATGTATCTCTCATCCCTTCAGATTTTGCTTGGACCTGGTAAATCTTGGCAAAATGCCTTCGTTCAGAGTAGGTTGCCTTGGCTTGTTTCCAAATATCACAAGCTGTATCAGTCCATATGAAGTTTTTCTTTACATGAGACATCATGGAACCTAAAAGCCATGACATAACCATACTGTTTTCTTGGTCCCATCTATCATATTCAGTTGAACCAGATTTTGGTTCTTTAATCTTTCCACTTATTTAACCAGCTTTCCCCCTAGGTTTAATGCCTTTGGACCATTCCAGATAATTTAGGCCATCAAAGGGGGTAATAGTCATAGAGAAATTCATGCTGTCCATCCCCCCATTAAGGTTACATTGAGGGGATGTAATACCAGAGGTTGTTGAATCCTCAGTAGCCTTTTTACCCAATGTTTTACTCTTGATTTTCCAAGAATTAACTGATAAAGAAGTTATGTACTTCTACAGCACTGTTATTGGTACATATAGTAGGCAAACCAACCACCCAAACAGAGAGCAGCACACTAACCAAGGAGGGCAGCAGTACCTCCACCACCTGTAATTTAAAAATGGCTCCAAAAACAGGTTCAGTTGGACTGTAGGTCAGTAAAACCCTAGCTGAAAAACACTTCAGCTTATAGGAAAGGAGACAACCAGCTCCTACAACCCCAAACTGTGACATTCACAGTAGTCACACACTTAAATGTGAATGTAACAGTACATACCTGGAGTACAGTAGTGATTCCACAACCCACAGTCCATAAAAAACTAGGTGCAAACCCTAGAAATACTGCTCACTGCATTTGGTTGTCACCACAATCACCACAAAGCCTCTTCTTGGTGCAATGACCAAGAGAGAAAAAAAAAATAGGAAGACTAAAAGGCTAGGTCAGTCCGAATGAGTTTTCTCTTCCTCTTCCAATCGAAAAACAGAGTTTCAGATGGAGAACTCGATCTGATAAGATTAGGCCCAGATCAGCTCTCTGATACCATGTAGTCCAGCAGAAGAAAAAATAAAATAGAAGAAGAAAAGAGAGAAGGAAGAGAGAAGAAAAAGAGAAGGAGAAGAGAAGAAGAAGTTCTTATTCAAAAGATGTGGCTGGCGGCACCTAAGTTAGTTTTTATACTTAGGGCGACAGCTTATAACAAATAGAGGAGGAAATGCCAGAAATACCCCTACACTAGAACATAACATGTTACAACATATTTGTTTGGGGTTTGTTCTTTGTTGCTCTCTCTCTCTCTCTCTCTCTAATATATATATATATATATATATACATATGTATGTATATATATATATATGTATATATATATATATACACAGACACATGTATGCATATGATTTTAGCAGAAAAAAATCTATAGCCTTCTCATAATTGGTTATAAAGTTAACCAACACATAGAGAGGGGGTAGGATTTCAGTGCATTTTATGGTTCAAGAAACTTTATGTTTTTAACCTTGATGTAGGTAAGAGGTATGATGTTTACCAAGGATGTACGGAAACAGTTATCTCAGATAATGCAGAAAATAGCAAAAGGTTAGAATTTACTGTTTTTTAAGAGCTTATACATTTCCCATACAAATATTGCTGTCTTGGTTCCTTCTATTCCTTTCCAATAATCTTATTGTTGTTGGTTAGAACTTATCACTACAATTACAAAACCGATTTTCTTGTCCTTCTCTGATCTTTTACTCTTTGCACATCATTTAAAATTTCAAATATAAAAAATGAATTTGACATTTCTTCAGGAAATGTTCATGGTTACACTTACTGTTATGTTTTCTACTTAAGGTTATTGAAAAAATCTTTGGTCACTATGACATGTTGCTTCAAAAACCCCATCATTTTAGTAGTGGAAATTTTTAGCAAACTGTGGAATCATGGCTCAACTATTTTATTTAATAAGCATTCCTTAATATATATCATCTAATTTCATGTTTTTGAAATGGTGTTGTTTCTTTTCTTTTTACCTTATTTTAGATAGGTGTTCCTCCTGCAAGGACTCGAAGGACCTCTTTTGGAAGAAAGATGGAGAGTTGTTTTAGAAAAGGAATTCGAGTAAGTAGAGGTCAAGGAAGCTATTTTTGCCATGGATCAATCAAAAGCTCCTTGCTTGGATGGTTTCACTACGACTTTCTACCAAGAAGGTTGGGATTTTGATTAAGGAGGATCTCATGAAAGTGTTTGAGGAGTTCTATCATCGAGGGGTCATTAACCGAGGTTTAAATGCCACTTTTATTGCTCTGATCCCTAAGAAGACGAGTGCCAATCATCCTAAGGAATTCAGACCAAACAGTTTAGTGACTAGCCCCTACAAAATATTAGCTAAAATGTTGTCTTTGCGATTGAAAAAGGTTCTTCCCTCAATTATTTCTCAATTCCAAGGGGCTTTCATTTAGAAGAGGCAAATTAGTGATCAAATTCTTATTGCCGATGAATGTGTTGAAGCCTTCAAGAAATCGAGCAAGAAAGGAATTGTGTGTAAATTGGATTTAGAGAAGGCTTATGATTTTGTGGATTGGGAGTTTCTGATTGAGATTATGGATAAATGGGGCTTTGGTGCAAATGGATAAAGGGATGCCTGAAGACATGTCATTTTTCAATGGTGGTGAATGGGAGAGTAGAGGACTTTTTTAGTGCCCTTAGAGGAATGAAGCAAGGGGATCCATTGTCCCCATTCCTATTTACTCATTGCGGAGATGCTTACAGATTGATCGTGAAAGCGGATGAGGGAGCACTAATAAAGGGATGGAGGATAGGAAGAGATAGGGTTAGGGTGACCCATCTACAATTTGCAAATGACATCATAGTTTTTTGTGAAAAGGGGGGAGAACATGATGCGAGGAATTTGAGATTGTTGGTGAATCTTTTTGAGAAAGTGACACATTTGAAGGTAAATCTGAGCAAAAGTGTGGTTGCTGGTATCAATTTGAGTCAAGATGAGATTGAAGATTGGGCTAGGGAGTTAGGGTGTACTTCAAGTGGATGGCCATTAAGATATTTGGGGCTACCCTTGAGAGCGAATCCTAGAGTGTTATCCTTTTGGGACCCGGTGGTGGAGAAATTTGAAAGGAATTTAGCGGGACGGAAGAGGAATTATATCTCCTTGAGAGGTAGAATAACTCTTATTAAATTCACACTGGCTAATCTTCCAATTTATTACCTTTCAGTCTTTTGCATGCCTCAAGCCATTGTGAAAAGAATTAAAAAAATAATGAGGGACTTTCTTTGGGAGCCTGAGGAGGAGAAGAAAGATCACTTAATTAGATGGGAGGTGGTATGTTGGAGGAAAGAGTGGTGGGATGGGTTTGGGAAGGCTGAAGGAAAAGAACTGGGCTCTATTAGGCAAATGGCTTTGGAGATTTCCAAGGGAGATAAACAAGCTATGGCATAGAGTGGTAGACAGCATTCATGGACTTTCAGAGAATGGTTGAGATGCTGGAATATCTAACAGAGCTTCTAGTGCTTCTCCTTGGAAGGCTATTTACAAAATTCTTCCACACTTCTTGCCTCATATCGGGTATGATACCAACTCGGGAAACAAAATCAGATTTTGGGAGGATCTATGGGTTGGAGAAGCTCCTTTAATGGAGTCTTTTCCTTCTCTGTTTGCTATTTCATCTTTCAAAGGTAGACCCATTTCTGAGTTCTTGGTCCATTCCCCTTCTCAGTCTGGAACTGGTTGGAATTTGGGTTTCTGTAGGAATGTGAGGGATTCAAAGTTGGACATTGTGTCACAATTGCTTCTTTTGCTGGATGGTGTTTTTATTGATAATAGCAGAGTGGATAGCCAATTATGGACGGGTAATTCCTCTGGAATATTTACTTGTGCCTCATTCTTTAAATTGCCGGTTCCCTCTCCTTCACTTCCTATGTCTTTCCCTGTTAAGGAAGTGTGGTGTCATCCAATCCCCCCTAGGGTGAGTGCTTTTTGTTGGGAGGTTTACCATGATGCAATTAATACTCATGATTTTTTACAAAAGGAGGAGACCTGGATGGTGTCTAGCTCTAAACTGGTGTGTCCTGTGTGAATCAAATGGTGAATCTGCTCATCACTTGTTCATTTCCTGTCCTTTTGCTTGTTGTATTTGGGATTGGTTTTTTTTCCTTGTTTGGTTGCAGGTGGAACACTCCACTTAGCTTGGATAAATTTTTTGATCCCTCAACTTTCAGCTTACCAAGAAAAAGGGGAAGATTACTTTGGAAGTGCACAATAACTGCAATGATCTGGACATTGTGGGAAGAAAGGAATAAGAGAATTTTTTAGCAGGAGAAAAGAAGTAAACAGGCTTTGATTGAAAGTTTAATGGTAAAGGTGACACATTGGGTGAAGAACTAAAGACAACTAAATTGTTTCTTGACTTCACATTTGATGACATTTTAAGACAAAGGCGCACAATTGCTGTATCATCCTCAGCTAAGAAGAAGCAAATGACAATCTGGAAACCTCCAAGTGATGATTTTTTCAAGTTGAATTTTGATGGGAGCTATTCCGGTAATCCGGGGGTTGCTGGAATGGGAGGGGTGATAAGAAATAGTGAAGGAAAATTGGTGTTCTTGTTTTCTGGGCCCATAGGGCAAGGGGACTCAATGGGTGCAAAACTAAAGGCTGCTGTTTTTGGGGTCCAAAAGGCATGGGAAATACGGATCACAAAGTTGTTGCTTGAAGGAGATTCAAAGGTGATTATCAGCTGGCTGAAAGATAATAATAAAACTCCATGGTATTTCAGAAATGAGATTAAGAAGTTTAAAAGATTCTCAAGACATGCAGGTGAATGTGCAGTGGGTACCTAGATCAGCAAACAGTTTGGCTAATCATTTTGCTAAGCAAGGGGTCAATAGAGGAATTGTTTTTGGGCTCAGCTGTAACTGTAAGAATATGGTTATGCTATTGTCCTAAGAGTTTCGGGTAGCTGAGGCTATGCATATTATAAATTTTCTTCCTAAATTAATAAAAGAATTTTTCTGTTGCTGATCACAAAAAAAAAGAACTAGAAAAAGGTGCTATTGATTGGTGTAATGCCAAAATCTCAGGCTGACAAGTGTAAGAATGCAGGTTTGACTTTGAGTCAGAGTGTGGCCACTTTGTGCAAAAAATAAATACATAAATAAAAGGCCAAATTTTAGGTTTGTATTCAGTTCACCCCTCCTAAGACCACAGATAGCTGGGATCAGCATTTAGGAATGGCAACGGGGCAGGGACCATATTCCCCATCCCCGACCCTGATTGTGAAACATATCCCCGTCCCCGTACCTGACCCCGATCCCCACGGGGATAAAACTGACCCTCCATCCCTGATCCCCAACAGAGACGGATTCCTTGTTGGGGACCCAAATCCCCAAAATTTTCAAATTAAAATTATTTTTTAAAAATAGATTTACTTAAAATAAGGGAAATTTGTTAAAATATAGAAATGTTTTAAACATACTTTGATATAAATAATATAATATTATATATGGATATTTCTGATTTTGAAATACCCATTCTTCTAGTTGTTCCTTGTCTAATTTAATTGGTTTTTGAAAATCAGGGCCTATGGAGGTACAGACAAATAAAAGGTGGAAAGATGATCAACAAGATTACAAGAACTTGAGGAGGGCTCTGTGTGTAGGATATGCAAATCAGCTAGCTGAGCGGATGATTCATCACAATGGTTATCGAACTATAGGCTACAAGCCTCAACTTGTTCAGGTGATGGTTATAATGATCATAATCACTAATTATTTCACAGGAGGGTGGGCCTTGGAGCAATGGTTGGGTTGCTCCATTGTGACCTGGGTGACTAGGGTTCAAATCTTGGAAACAGCCTCTCTGTATGTGCGGGGGTAAGGGTGCGTAAATCTGTCTCTCCCCAGACCCCACATTGGCGGGAGCCTCGAGCACTTTATTATTTCACACATGGACTATGGGATAAGGAAAGATTAGATGGTGAAGAACATGCTATTTGGCATAAGACCATTAAAATTTTATCGGTTTATGCAACACTACTATAAGTGCACATGCCGTTTCTAAGACATTTAGTTTTTGAAGTTTTTTTACTGTATTTTAATTGATTGGACTTAAAGACTAAAATGTTTGGACAACTGCCGTTTCCAAGTATAATTGATTGGACTTAAAAGATCAAAATGTTTGGACAACTTTCGTTCCTAAGTATCGGCATTAATATAGCATAGATTATTCTTGTACATAACATATCTTTGAGATGTGGGGATTAATTGTGATTTGAGAATGACATAATATCCGATGGTTAATTTATTCATTGTTTCAGGTGCATCCTTCCTCGGTGCTCAGAACAGATGAAGATGGATTGTTACCAAATTATGTCGTGTATCATGAGCTTATTGTGACTTCTCGTCCATTCATGCGCAATGTGTGTGCAATAGAGATGCCGTGGGTCATGCCCATCTCGAAGAAGCTTGACAAACTGAATGTAAATAAGCTCAGGTAAAAAAAATCGATTACTCTGGGGTGTTTTATATGGAAGGAGGTTCTATGTTCAATGTCATGTGGTCTGAATACTTGATGATTTGATGGATCAGCGGCGGTTTTGATGCTTTAGAGGAGAGAACAAATGGAGAATCACTAGTCTTGGCAAAGAAAGAGACTGAAGTTGTAAAGGCTCTTGATGATCGTGACAGTAGAATACAAGCTGCACGGGATCGTTTTCTTGCTCGTAAAGCAAAGAAATAGCCTGAATTGCTTGTTCATGCAATTTGGAATTTTTGATGAACTAGTGGGATTTGGCATACATCGGTCGATCTTCATTCCCTCTAATCGGTAACAAGGTAATTCTCTCTTTGATGGTTGGAACCAACCAATCATACTGGATGAATGTTGGAAGCAGTTAGCCTCAGCCTACTTAATGTGTTCCAGAGAAACAAAGATTCTCACCAAATGATAGAGCTGGACAGGGTCTAAATCTTTGTTGTCAAGCTGGATCTTCTTCATTGATCTTTCCCATCATGATCAAGGTTTTAAATTTTGCAATGTATCGGCCGATACGAGCTAATACGTATCATTTCAGAAGAGTTTTGATACACGGAACATGTATAATTAGATGGTTTCATATTTTTTCGTCCGTATCAAACTGATACAAATCCGTATAGGACCATTTTGGGTATGTATAGGCCGATATAACCCGAAACGCACTGATATATACCCAGGCTGATACGCATTATGTATTAGTTGAATTTAGTTTTCTTCTCCCTTTTAAATTTAAATTTAATTTAGCTCTTCTCTCTTTCACTGATATCAATTTTAATTAAGTCTTAAAGTTTGAGACGTCACTAAATGTTAATATAATTTAATTAAATGCTCATTTAAGTTACTTTTAATTATAACGTTTAATATGTCATTAAATGTTATTTAAGTGAAATAACTTACAAGTTTCAAACCCAAGTCATTTGTTTATAATAATAATTAATTAATTATTATGTCAATCTTAATTGTTTATTAGAACAATATGTTTTTTATACTTAAAGTAATCTTTATTGTCTTGTGGATGTTTTCCAACAAATGTTATAAATTTTATTATTAATATTTATATGATAATAAGATGAATATAAGTTGTATTCGTTTATTAAAAATTAAGGTATATATTAATTTGTATACAAAATAAGTATTATCTAAATCTATATATAATAAATATTAATTAATTTAACTAATAAATATTAACTAATTATATCCTGATACTTTATATAAATCATTAAAGAATGGGTTTTATGTTTAAATTAATTAATTATACTTGCATAAAAATTTATTTTTATTATTGTTCATATTTTTTAAGGATTTTGTTTTGAATTTTCTAGTGTATTCATGCGTATTTTTATTTTTTGAAATGTATTTCCAACTATCTTGGAGATAGATGGGCAAAATTGTAATATTACATCTGACCCCTAAACTCGATTATGGTACTACACTATGTGTCAAATTGGACTATCTTTGATATGTTAATCAGTGAGATTTTTAGAGGGGGTCAAAACTTTGGTATGTTGAGACAATCTGAGAATTCACTCGAGTAGGTGATCATAGTGACAAGATTAGCCCCTTTGTCGGACAGTAAATAATCAGGGAATGCATTCTCTGATGGAAATCTAAACTGCTGGTAGTTGATTTCAAACATTGAAATTTGTTTTTACAATATATATATATATATAGTTTTCTAAATCAGGGAATGTGATTCATAGATAGGAGAAAAGAAATTTTTGAAATTTCGCCCAATCTTCCTGTAGGGTTCAGCCCATCCATAAGATGGATCTTCCATCCCTTCAAATTGATCCCTGAGAATTAAGAAACACATCTCAAAGATATGTTATGTACAAGAATAATCTATGCTATATAATGCCAATACTTGGGAACGACAGTTGTCCAAACATTTTGATCTTTAAGTCTAATCAATTATATTTTTTAACGGTAGTTGTCCAAACATTTTAATCTTTAAGTCCAATCAATTAAAATACTGTAAAAAAACTTCAAAACCTAAATGTCTTAGAAACGGGATATGCACTTACAGTAGTGTTATATAAACCGATAAAATTTTAATGGTTTTATGCCAGATAGCATGTTCTTCACCATCTAATCTTTCCTTATCCCATAGTCCATGTGTGAAATAATATAGTAAAGTGCTCGAGGCTCCAACCAATGTGGGATTTGGTGAGGAACAGATTTATGCACCCTTACCCCTGTACATATAGAAAGGTTGTTTTTAAGATTTGAATCCTAATCACCCAAGTCACAATGGAGCAACCCAACCATTGCACCAAGGCCCACTTTCCTGTAAAATAATTAGTGATTATGATCATTATAACCATCACTTGAACAAGTTGAGGCTTATAGCCTTTAGTTCGATAACCCTTATGATGAATCATCCGCTCAGCTAGCTGATTTGCATATCCTACACACAGAGCTCTCCTCAAGTTCTTGTAATCTTGTTGATCATCTTTCCACCTTTTATTTGTCTGTACCTCCAGGTAACTAAAATTAAACAATGAACAATTAGAAGAATGGATATTTCAAAATCAGAAAAACAGAATCACAGAAAAAGATTCATATGACCAACCCCATATGGTTGGGACAAGGCTTAGTTGAATTGATTCAAGAACGTCACATTTCAACTTGTCAAGACTCCAAAAAGAAAATACAAATTTTGAAATGACACCCAAAAACTTTAGTGCCCTTCCATTAGACACTAAAAGCTTTGTGCGATGTAAACCTGGTCAGTGAGAGGCCAAATATATAAGTTTGGTTCTATAATGTACATGAGAACAAAAAACTGTCTTCTTTCCCCAAATTATTCTTTTTTTTTTCTGGGAAAAGGATAATGGAGAGTAACTGGAGTTCATCTCACCAAACAAAACCCTCATAAATACAATGGCCTAAGAAAGTTCTAGAAGGTAATAATAAGCACTAAAAGGCTTTCTGTTTCTAAATAATATTTCAACAAGTAATCATGCTATTGAAAATGCTCCAATCAAACTAAAAAAAGCTCACTACATATCAACTGGTCATCATCCTAACAATTTGAGGTATACTGCCACCATATTAGTAATGTCTATTATCATTTCTATAAACTACTTGCTTTACACAAATTGCTATAGGATTTGCACCTAGATTGAGAAAGTTGAAAGTGGAAAATTGCATTATTTGCATGTTTTTAGGTGAAAATGGAACTCTGACAAGTAGGGATGTCAATGGGCCAAGTTGATCAGGTAATCCACCTTGCCCCTGTTGTGACAGGTTTGATATGTTCCAAATTGGGCAAGGTCCAGGTTCAGGTTGTAAAATGTCAACACCTTGCAGGGTTTAGGTTCTGGTGTGTATATCCTTGGATTGCCATATCATGAATATTTCGTGTGTTTTTTTATATAGATTCAAATGTTCATATATATTTTTTTATTTGTTTTCTTTCTTTACCTTTTATATTTCATCTCACCACACGTTGCATGTTTTATGGTCACCTCTATCCTTGAATGCGTGGAGGGTTTGGATTCTTAAAATCCAACCTGCTGCGGGTTTTGACACAAGTACAGATTGGGAGGTTCAAGAAGGTGGATAAGGTCTAAAATTTACAAAACCCTCCACGTTGCCATCCCTACCTTTATGCCTGGGCCCTGACTTATATTTTCAGTCCCATGCTTAACATAGGTGCTAAGTCTTGCCCAGCCTAGCGCATGATCACATCTACGAATTCCACATCATGTTTGTAAATTGGGGCAGTCAATGGATTATGGGTTGTTTTTCCTCATCTATAGAAAAAAAAAGATATAGATAAATTAGTACTGATCTAGATTAGGCATTTTGATTCGCCCAAATCTTTGATCAATGACATTCTGATTAAGATACAAACTCCCACATTGCAAAATCACAGGCTATGTTTGGTTGCAATGCAAATAAATTTGCACTGCTGCAAAACTATGGCAATGCAAAGATTTGAATGTAAATTCTGACATATTTTTGTTTCAAATTTTTATTTATTTTGTTTGATTATAGTATAAATTAAGTAAATTAAGAGATAAAGTAGAATAAAATAAAACCCAAATCAAAATTAAATGAAAATTTACATTTTTTTTTAATTTGTACTCTCATACATTTATACTAATGCAAATAAATTTACACTGCAACGCCCAAATCTCATAAGTACTGATTTACATTAGGAACTGGATCGCTTAAAATGAACATTATGGCCTTATGGGTGTAGCTGCCAAAGTAAGTCTAAAACATATTCTTCATACATATCGTATTTTTGGTTATTACCGAATCTGAGAGGTCAATGCCCTGAGAAATGAGAGGAGGGTAGGTTGTTGGGCCTGGAAAAGGCAAAAGCAGCTATTGTTGAATTAGGTGCCTCACACCTACCCAGCTATCGTATCATGGAAAAGAAGATAACAAGAGTTTGTCAAAAGAGGCTCACACTTCACATCCGATGTGCTGCTCGTGCTCCTTAGTTGTTGTTGTGTTGTTTACTTGTCGTAGTCGGTTCGTTGCTCTTTTTCTTTTTTTATTTAATTATTATTAATAATAATGGGACATGACTAGGTGTATTTGATCCACTCCACTCTTTCACGCTTTATATGCATCGTACGACGTATGGTAGACGATGACTGACAGATCCAACTGGTTCCACCGTAATCTATTTGAACCGGAAATATGGAAATTTTTGAAATGTCCAAAACTAGAAGAGAACTCAAATATTAATCAATTTTATAATTATCAAGTAATTAAATTAAATTAAATAGTTTTGATTATTGACCATTGACTCCATAACCCCCCCGGCCCCCCCCAACCATCAACCAATCGACCTACCAAATAGGAACGGGAGATGGTGAGAACGAGGTGAATTGACATTAATATCCTCGTTCTTCTGTGCCCTAATTCTTCGCTTCAAGGGTTAGTAACGTCTTTCTCGGATAGTGAGCTATAGCTTGGAAGGAGCCGTCTGTCGCTGCTCATTCTCTCGTTCTGTTTACGTTCGCTGCTTTGCCTGGACGCTGAGTTCGGGAGGAGGAAAAGAAGGGAAGAAATAAGAATGGCGAGCTCCTCCGCAGTGGATTTGGCGGATATCCCATCCGTGGATCTGATGACGGAGCTCCTTCGCCGCATGAAGTGCTCCACCAAACCCGACAAGCGTCTCATTCTCATCGGTAATTCTCTTTTCATTTTCCTTTTTCTCAGTTTTCATGTTCTCTTTTCTTCTGAATTTCGCCTTGGGTTCTTTTTCCTTATTAATTTTGCAAGTCTTCGACGTTGCGTCCAAATCTAGGGTTTTACTGTAGATTTCATTGTGGATTTTTTTCCTTCAATGAATTTAGGGTTTTATTCTTGAGGATTTTAGTCATTTTTATTTTTATTATTAGTTTTTTGTTCTTTTATGTTGGATGCGTTTAAATCTCCTAGAGGCTGTTTGGTTTCTAAGTTGAATTTTTGGATGTTGTGATCTGGTGTATCCGTTCGCCCGTGGTCGTACGTTTGATTCTCAACGAACTGACTGCAATGCAGGAACTGCCAACTACTCTGATTTCTGAGCGTGGCTGTGTCCAAGCACCTGTTGATTTTCCTCCATCTCGGTGGATTTTGTACTGCTATTTTGTTTCTTAGGCTCACTTCGTAAAGAGTGCTAATACAAATATGTACAGTGCAAATACATAGAAAATAATACAAAATACAAGGTTTCGCGCTCTAGATATTTGTATTTGTATTCCTTCCAAACTGAGCCTTATCTACACATTTTCCTGTATTTTACTGAGTTTTGTTTACGAAGTAAAAATCCATGAAGCTACTGAACACGATGGCTATGAAACCAACAAAGCACCCTACCTCAGCCATAAAGTGTATATGAATGAAATAAGCCTTACTAAAACTAAATTGATGGTATGCCGGGTTTCAATTTCTATTGCCCTTAAGGCTCCGTTTGTTTACAGTACAAATTTTATTAGCACTGGTGAAAGTGCATGGGACTGCAAATGGGGGGAATTGAAATTCTTTTCCACTGTTGTTACGACTTTTACCTTGCTTCTCATGTTTGAGGTGCAAATAGGGGAGTTCAAAGAATATAAATGCATAGAAGTGCAAATAGTCCCCAATTTATATGGAAGAAAATAAAGGCAAAGTACCTTTTATGAGTGCAAATGAGACAGAGTGCAAATTCTTATCAGGTACCGTATAGTTTCAAATAAATATGTGCATAACTGAACTAGGCACAAAATTTGCACTCAGTTCGGATTTGCACTCAAACAAATGGAGCCTAATGGATGGTGCTTCCAATTCTAGGTTAACAGACAAAATTTTGGTTATATTTGAATGTGTGGTTGCTGCATCTTGTATTCTTTTGGCTTGGTTGGTAACTGAGTTTTACCTTTACCTGCACCTGCTTAACCTACAAAATGATGCCACATATGGTTGACTGCTTGGGAAAAGGCCCTTTAGTGCTTTAAATGGAAAATAGACATTAAAAAAACAAAAAATTGGCTTTTAGAGCTTTTAGTCTATCTAGCAAGCTAAAATAATATCCAAAGTTGGATTATGGTCATTGAACAATACTAATCATACAAATTTGTTTTCTTGTATGCTTTACAAATTCACCATGGAATATAATATTCTGAGATCTGTGGTGTATGGTGAATATGTAAGGCATACTGGAGAGCTAACTTTTTATGTTTAATATTTTGTATGGTTGTATTATGCATCAATTTTATATATGATCAGCCTTTCCACCCCCCTTTAACTGTTAATACAATTTTAGAACAAAATTTTAGCTATTGATGATTTGGTTTAATTACTTTATATGATGATTTCCTATTAGGTTGGATGATTGTTTGATGTGCATAATTAGAACAAAACAATTTTTTCTTCTCAAAAAAAAAAATTGTTTGTTGTGCATAATTATCATGATTAAATGATTGGCAGGTCCTCCTGGATCTGGAAAAGGAACCCAGTCACCCATTATCAAGGATGATTATTGCTTGTGCCACTTGGCCACTGGTGATATGCTAAGAGCTTCCGTTGCTGCCAAGACCCCCCTTGGGATTAAGGCTAAAGAAGCTATGGATAAGGTACAGTGCCTTCAAGAGCAGAATTCTACCATGCACTCTGTTCTTGAAGGATGTCTTTCCAACAGCTTGTTTATTGAGTGTTTCAATGATTGAATTTATAACTATTTTTTTCTCAGGGTGAACTTGTTTCTGATGACTTGGTTGTTGGCATAATTGATGAAGCAATCAAGAAGCCTTCATGTCAAAAAGGTTTTATCCTGGATGGGTTCCCAAGGACTGTGGTACAAGCAGAAAAGGTCTCTAACCCCCTTATAGGATATATGTAGTTCTCATCTTCTGTACCCTGAAATCTCAGTTTTCAATTTATGGGCTTCTGCTCATGCCCCTAGTATGGCCCTTGATGCAGCTTGATGAGATGCTTGAGAAGCAAGGAACTAAAATTGATAAGGTGCTCAACTTTGCAATTGATGATGCCATCTTGGAGGAAAGAATTACAGGTCGTTGGATCCACCCTTCCAGTGGCCGTACATACCACACTAAATTTGCACCTCCCAAAGTTCCTGGTGTTGATGATGTAAGATAATGCTTATATTCTTTCAAGTTATACAGTTTTATGTACTTTAGGTATGTCATATGTTGATGATAAATTTGTTGAGTAACATCAAGTGGGCAGTGCCACAGATGCAAAGAAGAAAAATTAAGAGCCTCATTGAATGTTTTCCATGCAGAAAAGTACCACTTGGTGACTTGGTGTATATTGCGTTGCATTGTTAACTTCTTAACTTTGTTTTTGGGATGGTTAGCTGAACTTAGTACTTGAGAAAAATAGATCAGCATGGAACAATGAACTTGCTCTGGCAAGTAAATCAGCAGCTTGGTCACATTTTAAGGGTGTAGATGGAATTATTTGTATGCACACAAAGGTCAATTATTAGCTTTAATATGGTTGTGAATTCTAGAATTTGGATCTTCTTTTTTTTTTTTTTTGATAGATGGATTTGGATCTTCTTTACTTGTATACTTGATTACCCAACAATTAATTGGATATTTAATCTGCATTATGCCTTCCAGGTTAATAGTTGAATATGTTGTAAGAATCTTATTAGTTGTGATGCTTTCAATGAAGGTCACTGGAGAGCCTCTGATTCAGCGAAAGGATGATACTGCAGCAGTTCTCAAGTCTAGGCTGGAGGCATTCCATAGGCAAACTGAACCGGTATGGTTGCCCTGTTTCCTTTGAAATTCATATGCGTTTTAAAATGATTCTATTTCTAGAAAGAAATTTTATGTTCAATATGAAGATTTTTTCTGTTTCCCCAGTCTATCATGCAGTAGCTCTCTTGCTTTGGAACTTGTTCTGAGTACTGGGACCAATCTAGCTTATGTGTGGAAGTTTGAGATAGAATGGTTGGCTTTATATGGATTTCCTAGTTCCATATCTATCTTCCTGAATATCTCTGTCTATTGCTATCTTTCAGTATCAAAAACCCCATGTTCTTTGTATTGCAAACTTGAATATACAAGTTCCTTGTAAAGTTGGGGTGACAAAATAGAGTGTTTTTTCATAAAATATGGTTAGTAAAACTATAAGTTAGCCTTTTTTAAGTCCCAGTCCAGCAATTCAATTTATTTTGGCTGCATGAATGTGAAACTTGTTTTCAGAGATAGAAGATTCAATTCAAAACTGGGATGCGTCAGTAAGAAGATTTTAATTTTCAAGTTTTTACCCAATAACCTTTCCATCGTATCCTCGGTGAAAGTTTCTTCTACTTGTTACACATTGTATTTGTTAAAATGTGTGGCCTTGCAAATTGAACTGCCTGATCTTGTTGTAGAAGACCTGAAATCCACGTCACTTCATTGCATGTTCTTTTTTTAAAGTAGGTTTTATTCCTTTTCTTTCCCTTGATCTTAATCGATCTTAATCAACATTCTTTAGTATCTAAGCCATATTCTTTGTATTTGAACTGTCAGGTTATTGATTACTATGGCAAGAAGGGTGTTGTTGCACATCTTCATGCGGACAAACCACCAAAAGAGGTTACCAATGAGGTTCAGAAGGTGCTCTCTTCGTAGAGATGAACTCTTCAATTTTAATCTAAAAGATGGAACTTTCTCAAACCTCTCTGGGTTTTTGCTCATTTGTAATCCGATACATTATCGGATCGGCTGATCCATTGCTTTTAACTTTAACCCCATCCGTATGACTGTATCTGACCGCAAGATCCGGCTGGTTCCGTTAACTGCTGAGGTGTTACGGAATTTATTCCCAAATAAAAGAATGAATCATAATTTTTGAGTAAAACTTAGTTTTGTCAATAATTTAGGCTCCTGGGCTATGCATTCTAGTTTATTGGGTTTAATTATTTGAATGAGTTTGCTATATTGTTGGACGAAGAATCACTTTTGAAGGAAGATATATATCTGAACGGGTGCTGAAAGATTTTTGGATCTGCTACTTGCATTCATAACTCAAAGCTCTAGCCGTCTGGCCATGCGTAACCATACAAATACCTCTTACATGGGAAACGTATGAGGAAGCTATATGCCTATCGGTATGTCTGCAAATGCTTATTTTGTTCTCAACCCTAACTTTTACTCCTCTCACGGAGTTTATTCACTAACCTATCTCTGAACGGTCTTGAACTGGAAGTCTTTGACACGGTTTGTTGAAACCAACTATTGGGATGGGTAGAGGACCCTCTCATCACCATCTTCCAAGCCCTAATCCAACTATATGGGGATGACTACATGAATCCTGTTTTGCCGGATTTTTCGGTCTACCCTTTGCCCATCCCCTTCAACTTGTAACAAACCAATTCTTCTTAGTGGTTTTCTATTTACATGATCAAATCATTTTAACCTATTTATTTTTATTTTAGGATAAAATACAAAAACTTCCCCTAAAGTTTCTGACAATCATAAAAACTTCCCTCATAGTTTTATTTTAGCAAAAACCTTCCCTCTAGTTTTGAAAATTTTGATGAAAACCTCCCTTTTGTTAATGGCAAGATGGAAAACGTTAAACTAATGATTAATTTTTTCAAATACCCATTTTACCCTTTTGTATTTTAGCCTAATAAATAATATCACAGGTTCGAGATCAACACGGGCCAGACCACTCCACTAGACTTCATGCTTCAAAATAATAGAGGACGTGGCATAGGGCCTGGCATATATAACATTAAGCATCTAGGCTCGTTCACGGCAACCTCAAGTCCTCCAAGGTAACTCTTGGGTCCCGACTTTGAGGCTTGTCTCACCGGTTACTACCTTGCCATGCTCACTGATACCTCCTCCAAAGATGAAACCCCTAAATCCGCCGAATATAGGGCCCCTGAGGCCTGTAAGTCCAGTCATCGAGCCACCTCCAAATCCGATGTCTACTCCTTTGGCGTTCTCTTGTTAGAACTTTTGACTGGAAAACCTCCATCCCAGCATCACCTGCTCATATTCAGTGATCTACTTAATTGGGTCAGATTCGTTAGAGACGACGATGGTGGCGATGAGAACCGGCTAGCCATGCTTCTTGAGATAGCCAGCACGTGAGACATCACCGGAACAGAGACCCAGGATGTGGCAAGTTTTGAAGATGCTCTAGGAGTTTAAGGAGACGGTGATGAGTTCAATACTAGGTTTTAGCTCAAAAAGTGAATCAAAGACCAATCACAACCAACTGACCTCTTTCTAGATCCCTAAAATTCTATAGAAATCCAAGACGAATCAATTGAGTGATTCATTTAATGAAGCTCCAAACAGAGCAATACTATTAAAATTCTACAAAACAATACTATTGAGAATTTGAATGAAAAGAGAGAAACCTTCTGGATGAATACGTATGAAAACAGAGCGATGAATACGTATGAAAACAGAGCAATACTGTTAAAATAATGATCGGAATCTGATAGAGGTAGATTTGGCCCGACCCCTTGGCCGTGCGACACATGGAAGCAATCGGGTATAACCTGGCAGGAGCGTCAGCTTGGTACAGCAACATAGTCATATCCCAAGAAGAGGCTTGAGCTTCCCAAAAAGGAACCCACACTTCCCAGAAGGTAGAACCCGAGCTTTCCCTAGAAATCCCGAGCCTTACAAGGAACCCCGCGAAGGGCGAAGCCCGGACTGACAGTCCGGGCCGCACTCCGATCCGAACTCAAGACTTCACCTTGGGCACCACCCCAACACTTTGACTCCAGGTCGCATGACTGAATAACCGTACCTGACAAAGAAGGCCGTACTCTGAGGCAGCGCGCCATCTCAGTTGTTGCAGAGACGGCCCTGACAGAGAAGATAGTGACGGGTATGCCTGCCCCCCATAGAGACGGTTACACCTGATCTAGCAAAGGCTTGGGAGTGAGTGCCTCAGTGTAGTTATAAAAGGCCCTCTTCCCCCAGAGTAAAAGTAATTGATACTTTGCGCCTTTTGGTCTCAGAATCTCTCATCCTCCTTGCCTTCTCAACTTGAGCATTGGAGCATTCCCACCGGGTTCCTCCCCCGGGAATCTCTTGTTTCCTCCCTGTTTCAGGCATCTCCTGCTCCGTCAGAGGCAAGGTTACCAGCAGTTAGGACCGACCGGATCGTGCATCATTAGAATCCATGTGCATTAAAACAAATCAATAATGTTAAAACAATGAACCAAAGATCAATGTCAAAATAATGACCAAAATTCATGTGCATTAAAATACTGTTAAAACCAAGCAATAATGTTAAAACAATGAACCAAAGATCAATGCCAAAATAATTACCGAAAGAGGAAGAATAAGAAATCAGCTTGTGCTGTGTTCACTCACTTAGCTAAATACGTCTGAAACGGGAAGAAAAAAATGGCAAGGAAAAAAACAAAAATGAAAAGGAAAAAAAAATGGCTTGTGTTGTGTTCCTCGAAACCCTTGTGTGTTCGTTCCTGCATTCATTCCTCCTATTTTTCTCCTCTTCAAACTGGAAAAATAGAAACTAGGATAATAAAAGAGGTATAATATGTCAATAGGGGTATTTTAGTAAAAATAGAAACAAACTAATTTGTAAAAGGGTAAAGTAGGTATTTAGAAAAAATTAATCATCAATTTAACGTTTTCCATCTTGGTCATTGACGAAAGGGAGGTTTTTGTCAAGTTTTTAAAAAATAGAGAGGAGGTTTTTGCTAAAGTGAAACTATAGGGGAGGTTTTTATGATTGTCAGAAACTTTAGGGGAGGTTTTTATATTTTACCCTTCATTTTATTACCTATTGGAGTCAATGTTCAAAATATCGATATGTCCGATACGTCGGTAGGGGCATATCAGGTGAATTAATATTGCTTTTTTTATTTGTTTTTCGCAATTGGTTTAGGGGGCGATTTAGGGCTCCTCCACCCCCTGAATCGGTCAAACCCCCAATACACCCCCTGTAGAGGCGTATTAAAAGGTCCCGAAATGATATATATCAGCCGATACTTTGAACCTTGATTGGAATTATTTCTAAGTTCCTAGGCAAGATTTTATTTCTAATCTTATACTTTTTAGTTTTCTATCCATCCAGCATATGCATTTCTTTTTGGGTATATGGGGCTGAAGGACCAGAACATAATTATTACTGTTTATTAAAAGGGTCATACCAGTTGTGGAAATCACCATCTTTGATTTTCACATACTAGCATTTTCAATTTTCTCTATTAAAATTAAAGAAAATATAAAGAGATTCATATTTGCTATTATTCGGTTAGGACGGGTATATTATTACAATTATGCAAAGTATAAAAGGTGAGTGAGAGTGAGACACTCGTTTTAATTTTATTCTTAACCATTGAAAGAGCACAGATAAAGGGATTTGGGGAGAAAATAGTGGGTTGGATTATGGAATGTATCATCTTAAAGACGATGTGGGAACCGCTCAGAACGCTGCATTCCACTTCAAAAAATTCCATTCGCAATTAGAATATGACATCAAACATGTTTCTGTTCGGCAGGAACATCATAAACACAAGAAAATTCCCATGGAATTATGTCAAACAGGGCCTTGGTATCTTATAGGATTCTCATAAGTCTTGGCAAAAAGGTCTATCAAATTAGAGGGCTTAGATAGAGAGACTCACGTTCACCTTATCTATTCCTGATTTACTCTAATGTGTTTTTTACTATGCTTAAAAATATGTAAGATGAATGTATTATCTTGCTGCTCATCAAAGTTGCAACTTCTAACAATTGCTCATTTATTACCCATCTCTTCTTGGCTATGACTACATCCATACCTGTTTATAACTATGTCCTGCTTTCTATTGCCCTCAAGATTATATAAGGAGATGGTCAAAATTATCACAAGGTGTTGGTAGGGGGAGGAGGATGGAAAGAAGAAGATAAATCGGATTAGGTGGGATCAACTGACAAAGAACAAACATAATAGTGGATTAGGTTTTAGAGACATTCATTGCTTCTGGACAATAGCAGAGTTGTTTGGATGTTTTGTCATGATTCCAATTTTTTGTGGGCTGAAGAAATAAAGCAAAATACTTGGGGTTCAATAGCTTCTGGACAGCTCCTATAAGTTCAAAGGGGCTTGTGGGATGGAAGAGCTTATTGGCAGGAAGAGAGATTCTGAGACAAGGAGGGCACTGGGCAATAAATGAAGGCTTGACCGATTGAATCCCGGATGCAAGGTTAAAAATATTGATAGTAGGGGTGTATCGGGTGATATCGATGCTGTTTTTTATATATTTTTTATTTTTTTAAATCGGTTCAAGGGGTGGTTTAAGGCTCCTTCACCTTTTGAACTGGTCAAAACCTCGATACATATCAGAAAAATCCCAAAACAATAAATATCAGCCAATTTAGATCAATACATGTCGATACTTTAAAACTTACCCGGATGTTATTGGTTTTAAACCAATGGCCCCCGTCCAATCACAAACAATATTGAGTCTGTCCATAACCTTATTAATGCGGACACTAGCCACTAGGTGATCTTCCTCCAACCTGTTATAGACAGCATTTGAAAAAATTATATCGGCTTATGTGAATGCGGAACAGAAAAGGAAGCTTCTCTGTAAAATCGGCTTTACTCTCAAGTACAGCTTTAGAGCTATCAAGAAAGCATTGGAGCAAAATCTGGTCGTTGGATGTTGAACAAAAAATTATAATGCATGCTGGGAGGACAAATTTGGGTCACAGGGAGATGTGGAGAACCAAAATTGCCTCATCTGTGGAACAGAGAAAGAAACTATAATGCATGACCTTTTCTTGTGTAACCATGCCACATTGCTCTTGGTTTGCAAGCAAGTTAGGTTTGAGGGTAGATCCGTAGATGGGTTGGACAAAAGCTCTAGTTTTAATTTCTCTTTTGAATATTCTGCAGTAATGGTATAATTAATCTGGAAAAGTAGAAATAACCAAG